GACTGGAAAGAGGAATGGTTGTGTTTCTATGTTGATAAAGTTTTGGGATTGCAATTTATTCGAGTAACATTGCATTATTCATCAGAACACCCATTGCACTTGGAACAGTTAAAAAGTGACAGTGACGTCATCATCAATTTCGAAAAATATCAAAACACGATTTCTTCACTAATTAATTTCTTTGATGCCCATTTTCAAGATTTTAAAGAAAGCAAAAGTAATTTAGCACTTTTCACCAACCCTTTCTCTCTTTCAGACACCGAGATTGAACATTATCCACCAGAAATGCAATTGGAAATTTTGGAACTTAAAAATCATTCAACAGCAACAACAACTCGTATTTATATAGCGCCCCACATGCAGGGTAGTGTCCCAGAGCGTTTAGGCCTACATAGCAAATTCCTAGAGCTGTGTGCTTCTCCAGTAAGTCAGGAGTTGAAGTTGTTTTGGTAATTTGTCCCTAATTTGTGGTGATTTTCCTAAATTGGATGACGATGCTCTTTGGTATGTGTGCAGGTTCGGATCAACCTATACCTTTGAGCAGTCCTTTTCCACCATGAACTTCATAAAAAAATAAATACAGTTCCAAATTAACAGATGATCACCTTAACAATCTTTCTGGTGGTGTGCTCAAAATTGAATCCAGATATTGAAGCTATCATAAACAACAAACAAATTCAGAAGCCTTATTTTACACTTGTGTTCAAATCCCTTCACTCGTTGGCACCTCCCTACCTCTCCGACCTCCTCACTCGCCAGTCCACCACCCATCGGACTCCTGCTCGTCCCTCGCACCCTCCGCCCCACCATCAAAGATCGTGCTTTCAGCCACATCCCCCGAAACTCTGGAACACACTCCCTCAATCCCTCCACTATGCCCTCTTTCAAGTCCTGTCTGAAAACCTTCCTCATCGACCATGCTTACAGACACCTCCCCCCACACCTACCCCGGCTTGGAGTCAGGCTCAGCCACTGTTAAGTACTCTGAGACACTACCCGAGCTATATAAGTGCAGGTTGTTGTTGTATTACGTAACTTGTTTGATATTTAATTGTGAATTTCTTAATAAATGCATTTTTATTTTCCAGTAATATTTTTCTTTTCAATTTTTTTTTAGTGGTATGGTGATATGTCTTGGGCTCACACTATGGCTCACTTTAGCTAAAGGTTGGCCACCACTGGTCTAAAATGACACTCCATAGCACTGCTGCATTATGCATGAGACATTAATCCAAGGTCCCATCTGTCTTTTCAGGTGGACGTTAAAGATCCCATAGCACTAGTCAAAAAGAGAAGGGAATTTCTCCTGGCCAACAATCCCCCAAATAAAATTGGTCACTCACTCCATTGCTGTTTGTGGGACATGGTTGTGCACAAATTCACCCACAAAAACACAGTTTACAAATGCTGTGAAGTGTTTTGTGATGTCCTCCTGAGGTGAAAGGTAATACATCAAATGCAAGGATTATTATTAAGATTATTACCTTGCACGTGCCATACGATTAAGCACAAGCTCCCGAACACTTAATGTGTCTAAACCAAATATGCTCCAGTAAAATTGGTCATCCACATCATGAAGTTTTGTGGGATGTTACGGAGTGTAAATTGGCTGCTGTGTTTGCCTAAAAATACACAGTTGCGATACTTCACAGTACATCCTGTAAAGCACTTTGAGATATTTTGACAATGTGGTAAGAAGCTACATTATTTTGTTTTATAGAAAATGCTCAAATGTTTTATGTACATAATAACAGTGTATGTTCGCAAGGAACTTAGGACCATTATGGCTATAGAAAGCAACTACAGTGCATGGATAAGGGATATTGAATGGATTTAGTATACCTTGATGTTCATAAAGCATTCCAGATTCTCCATCTGAGGCTTATCACAAGGTCAGACATGAGGAATTCAAAGTATATTAGTTGTCTGAATTAAAATGGCCTGGATGAGGTAGATAAGGAGGATATTTCACTTAACAACAACAAGATTACATTTGTATAGTGTCTTTCACGTAGGGAGGCCATCCCAAGGTGCTGGACAGAGTACAGCATTTCAGAACCAAGCTGGGGTTGGGGGGGGGGGGGGGAGAAGGAAGGGGAGAGGAAGGGGGGTGGCCGATGGTATGGTCAAAGAGGAGGGTCTTGAGGCGGGACTTGAAGGAGGCTAAGGAGGGGACGAGGCGGAGGGAATTCCAGAGCTGGCTGAAGACTCTCCCGCCAATGGTGGTGCGGGTGGGTCGGGGGACATGGAGTAGGCCAGTCGGCTGAGCGGAAGGAACGGGCGGGGTGGTAGGGGGTTAGGAGGTCACAGAGGTAGGGTGGGGCAAGGCCATGGAGGGCTATGTGAGGACCAGGATCTTGAAATGGATCCTCTGAAGGATAGGGAGCCAATGGAGTTGGGCAAGACTGGGAGAGATGGGATCACGGAGTTTGGTGCGGGAGAGGACACGAGCTGCAGAGTTCTGGATTATCTGCAGCCGTGAGAGCAAAAGTACAGGTTAAACAAGAAGATATTTTCCTCCACAAGATAGAGGATGTGTGGAATGGTCTTCCAACAAAAGCAATGAATGCTGTATTAAGCCCTTAAAAAAAGAACCAGACATTCATTCTGTGTGAAATATACCAATGTGAAGGCAAAGTGTTGTTGGATTAGTGTCACCCTGAGAACTGTATTGGACGATACAAGCAAAGCAGCAGATTGAGATGAACAAATGTATGTTCCATAGGACACATTGATTTCTCTGTTCCTGGAAAGGGGGAGGGAATATTGACCATATGTTAACCAGAGAATTAGCATATATTTGCACAGAGCAATTCTGGGGATGGATGAATATTACACATTTTTTCTTTGATTGACATTGGTCTTTTGGGAATCTTTATATAGAGCGTTAGCAGATTATAAACCCATAATTTTCAATGAATCAGTCTTGATTGTGTATTTTATGCATATTGATGGTCGCTGAATAATAATTATTTTCCTTTCTACTATTCAAAATATATTATCATAATGAAGAAAGGTATTATGGCACTTGATCCTTATTTAAAAGGAGATCAGAGGTCTTGCCACGAAACCCCCTCCCCTCCCCCACAGATTACCATCACTCCCGAGATAAAGATTTTGGTTGCTAAGGTGACAGAACAGGAAAAAAAGGAAACTTTGCACAGCTTTGGTTCACTAGCACCAAAGGTTGCTGCTGGTTACAAAGGGATAGTTAAAGAATTATAATTATGTAACACTGCCTGGATGTTTATTATTTCAAGTGAAATCTGCATGGAGTTAACAAAATGACCAGAATTGTTTGAAAACAAAAAATAACAAGAGAACAAGCACTGTCAAATAGATAAAAGGACCAGCTAAGCGGCTGTAACACTATCTCTTCCCTTCCCCCCACACTAAAATGCCACCGAATCCATATGCCGCATTAAATAATTCAACTTGGACCATTATACAGAGAAACAGCAGCATATTTTAATGCATTTGATTTCACGTTAAAAAAAAAATCACTTTTACAAAAACGTCACATTCCAGTAGTAAAAAAAACGCTTACAGTAAATTTTGCACTGACAATTTTTTTTTGCAACACATCACATCGAGTTTTGTTGGAGTAGACATTATTCATCTCTAATCACTCCCCATTCAGACAGGTGTCAGCTCTCCTGAAAAGGCCCGCACACAATTACACTGGAAATAGAAGGGTACGCTTTGTTATGTGTTACTATGGTGATCGGTGGACAAAATAGGAAGAACCTCCTTGTCTTACGCCGACTTTTGTGTGTGCACTCTGCTGTGAACTGTATTCTGTTCAAACTGTGCTATGTTTTGAGGATCTGGAATGGTCAAACAGCAAGCGACAATTCCCACATCAATTCAAAGAGCAGGAATCACCAAAGTTCCCTGCAGGTCCTGAGGCCCACCCTGCTTTCACTTGCCTTCCCCCTACCAATTATTTAAGGGTCTGTAGTCACTTGAATAAATTACTAAGACCCTCTGATAGCCCCACTTCAGCAGCCAAAACATTCCATAATCTATTTATTCCCCTGTATCGTTTGTTGAAATAATGCTATTGTATGGTTTACAAAGGCTGCTTTCCAATTGTGTTTGTTTTTCAAGCAGAGGAGCACTGAAATATTCATCTTCTGGATGAAAAAGATAAACACACAACAATGGTTCCTATATTATTTTTTCACTTACGTTTCTAAGAGTACTTAACCAATTGCATTCACTCCATTTTGCACCACGCCAGCAAAGTTGCATTACCCATGAATGCATTGAGTTTGAAATGTTTGTGCTCATGGATCTTGAGCATTTCTCCAAATCCAAATCACCTTTTGTCACAAGCATTTCTTCAAAAAGAAAGTTTTCTGAGCTATGGTGTGGTAATGACTCATAGGTTAGCCCCACTCCTAACCTAACCCAGATGTTAGTGAAGGTTATGATCAGGATTTCAGACACCGGGCTGAAATTAACATGTAAATTGCTGGAATAGGAAAACTGGCTATTACAAGCAAGCAAAAAGAAAATTTCACAAGGTTTAGTCGAAATTTTGAAGCTATATTTTGATGCCTTCTATATTTCCTGTCTAAACTGCACATATCAGGTAAAGTTATCCTTGTTAAGATTCATAAGATAAACTGGCAGTAGCTCTGATTATTTTCTCTGGTAGCAAATACAAGAGGATTGTAAAGGGCTGCAGGAAGAAATTACTTAGATGGGATTGAGTAATAATAATAATAATCCTTGCATTTGATATAACGCTTTTCACGTCGGGAGGATGTCCCAAAGCGCTTCACAGAACACACTGTAAAGTGAATTGACTGTATATTTGTGGGCGAATGCGGCAGCCAATTGCGCACAGCAATGTCCTACAAACAGTCGTAGATTGAAAATGACCAATTTATTATTGTTTTGTTTCGGAGGGATTATTATTAGGCTCTGTGTGGAGTAAGGAAACTTGCCCAAGGTCTCGCCCTGCCTGGAATTGAACTCAGGTCTCTCACTTGCAAAGCGAGTGCTCTAATCACTGAGCTACAGGACTCCACAGGACTTAGAAATGTGTACATGCTCATAGATACTATTGATGTGTTAAACAGTGTGGGGAATAGTTGGGAGGTTAGTAACATGCTGGAAATGACACCAAGTAACCTGGAGTGTTACAGGCCTGAGAAAGTGACCTCAGTGGCTTCTTCCAGGGTCTGTGTAATTTAAGAATATGTTTCTGTACCCTTCCATTTCCGATTAGAAGCCCTCCCCAACCCCACCTCCCACCCTCCTATTCATTGCAACTTTACAACTTAATGTGACAGAGAACGGACACAATACCCAATCCTCCTTCCCCGCCCGCCTAACAATTGTGCAAATAGTTTTCCACTTAAAAAACTTTAATATGAAAAAGACATTTACTTGTCATTCCAACGTGCGAGTCGTATAACTGAGCAATAAATACCTATTCTACAATTTACAAAAAAACAGACATAAATAAAATTCATACAAAATCAATATCGCTGACTCTTGGGCCATTCATTTTCTTTTAATAAAATTGACCTTTAAAGATGTTGTTCCATTTTTGATGTCGACTCCTGGCTCTAGGGCCTGAAGGATTTTGCTGCTTTAAAGCATGGAGCTCCTGAAACAGGATAATAGCTGCCCTCAGCACAGTCACAGCTACCATGTCCAATGTCCACAGCTCCATCCGCAAAAGGTTCGTCAGATAGAGCTGTATGTCCGCCCGGGCTGACATCAACACCTCAGAATCTGCCTGCTTGCTCGCAGCTGTTGTTGACACTTCAAATGTCACAATACGAGGTGACAACTATTTCAAATTTCACACACAAATGTTGGAGTCAATGAAAAGTGAGAACAATGTGGAGATGAGGTGATGATGAGTCGTTTTTCTTCTACTTTTGTGGCGTTGATGAAGACCGACTACTATTTCACTATTAACTATCACTGGTGACCATCATCTACAAGTTGCTTCCTAAAGTGAACAGATTTTCATCATGCCGGTGTTGTGTTGGTTGCTGAACCAAGCAATGTTACCTCGGCGAAGGATTTGTTTTATTTTTCTTCATTTAAGTTGTATTTCTTCACAGTATAGGGAATCTTCATATCGGCCGACACAGAATTCTATTAAAGAAAGAAACAAGTTCATGTTTAGACGCCGTTTCCAATTCAACAACTAGCTATTTATTCCAGCAAAATAACACAAAGCTGTGTTGCCCAGGGACACAGTAACAACTGCAAATTTTACTGCAAATTGTCCCAAAGCCCTGGGACATCTTTCCGACGTGAAGGGAGCTATGCAAGTGTAATTTGTTGTTGTTGTTGCATAAAATCCACACCCCATTTTAGAGTTATATTATGGTTGCTTGAGTTAGATGTGGACAGTCTCACAGTGAACAGTATGTACTGTTCAGTGAAGATGTATCCTTCCTCAGGATCATTGTATTATAACTTGTGCTGTACTGATCCACACAATTACAAGCTGCCACCAAAACATGATCTTCACAGTTCCGCCATCAATTCCGCCCATTTAGTTAACTTTGTATGAAGTGAATCATAATAGTAATAATCATCCTTACATTTGACATTACATTGGGTAGCTGTCTCAAAGCTATCAGCGGGAGGCACTGTAAAAGTGGAGTGACTGTGTGTTTTGTGGGCAAATGTCAAACAACACCAAATACAAGTCGTGGACATAGCTCTTGAAAAGCTTTACCGATGATAAACTATGTGCATTCACACCTCTGTGTCAATGAACTAAATTTGACAGGAAAAAAATTGAATGATTTCAGTATTTGTAGATTATTCTTGCATCCTGAAGCACTGCTCCTCCTTTGTCTAAAAAGACTATCTAGGTTGCTATTTATAACCATAGGATCAAGCATATAATGAAATGGCCATTGCGTTCAAATGTCATTGTGTTCCCTGGTGCAATCCTTGCCACTTGAATACATTACCAAGTGCAGCCAAGTTTAGCTTCTGTTGATCGATGGATATGCACACACACATATGGCCATAAAGGTTTCCCTAACAAATATCCACTGTGTGGTAGGGTTCAGACGTTAGTTCAGCCTCTTCCAATGGCAATAAACATGATTTATTGGCATTGGCAAGTGTTGGCTATTATATTCAAAGGATGGAAAGAGCGAATCTCAATTAGCAAGGGATTTCCCGTTCTCCCTCTCTCTCCACCCATTCCTCCCTCCCACACACACAAACACACCGTCCACTCCACTCTGAAATGTGAACAAAGCTATGTAGTTCTTAGACATAAAGAAGACTAAGAAAAGGTTTTGCTACTTTGATAAGTTACAGAAACTATGTACTGTATTACAGGGTTCAGGGTTACATTCCTTATATTACTGTTCAGTCTCTAAATTAAATTGTGAATCTAAAATCAAAGGAAAGCCAGATTGCCGCGAAATAATAACATCTCTAGGCTTTTATGTTTATTAAAACAAAAGCTGTGTGGCAGGAAACCTTAAAACATTGAGCTGCTGAGCAAGAATAAGTGAAAATTTACAGAAAAGTTCAGCAATAGTGTTACCATCAGCTGCTACAACCTCAAATGAAAGCTATTACATAATGGTGTTCCAGTGATTTGGGAGATTATAAAAAGGAATGTATGAGGCCCCAATGCTCTCTGACCACTTCTGTCCTAACTTTGCAGTATAAAATTAATTGAGAACTCAACGTTCAAATTGTGTTTTCAACCAGCTATTAAACATAAAGCAAAAATAACACATCAGTAAAAGAAACATTATTTCACACTGAATAGCCCTTTTCTACACTTTAAAATTCTATTGCTCAAATATACCATAATTACACTGAGCTGGTAACAGAGGGCACTCTGGTTTGAAATACAAGATAAAATATTTTGGTTGCACCAGAGTTCCTTAATACACTGCAAATAAAATTGAGTTTTAGAATTAAACAGTGTATTCAGTTTCAGCCTGAATGCTATCCAATGGGTTTCCCTATGTTTAGAGGGTAGGTGGCTGCATTCGAGGCTGTTTGCCCTGAAAAGGTCACGGAAGAGAAAGCAAGAAGCCAACTGTGATTTCCATCAGCTTTTAGCTGCAAATCTCTTTTAGCAATTTGGTAGTCCTTCCCCACCCACTCTTTCTCAGCACTAAGGACAATAGACAGTTGATTTGACTTCAAAATCAGTCCGTTACTGATCCTCTATTCCTCTCTACCTCAGCCTTGTCATTAAAAACCAGTCAGCATGGCATTTCTAGAAAGGATTAGGTCGTAAAATCAGGAATGGGAGATTAATATCACTTTAACCTTCCACAGCATTGCTCACATGGACGAATAAAAGGATACTGCAAATTTAATGCAGGAAATGTTATGCCTTTCATTGCTTTACTCGACTTTCTTTTCATAACTCACTGGCTGCTCGCCAGCATTATGACAGAATTATGCCAGGCTAAATAAATCACTCTGAAAGGGATGTCCCCAAGATTACTTAAAACTGCTGTTTACACGTAGGTAATTTGGCTGATTTTGGGGGGGGGAATTATCCAAATCTTACAGTGATACTATCTCCATTACAAGTGTATTATTTGATATTGTTTTCAAACAATATTTTGTAGTCATAATATCTGCAAGCTAAAGGATATAAAATCTCTCCGTTCCAATGCAAATATGTGTCAGCTAGAAACAAATGTTGGCTGTAAATTGAGCAGTGTTACTGCCTGGATTAGTATTAAATAACTATAAGCAGGGCTAAACACAATCTACCTATACAAATTCTGGTTTCTGTGCTGCTTCTTGCATAGGTTGTACAGTACTTTGAAAAATGTCATTGACGCACTTTGGGAAAACCCCGAAATTCCACTTATTAAGTAAGAATAAGGCCATTTTGTGTGTCTTAAAAGTTAATGTTTGTGGAATTCTTAAACTCAGTCGAATTTGGAAGCTTTCAAATAAAGTCTTCCAGGCTGTGAAATTTTAGATGCTTTGTCCTTGGAATGATTCTTCCATTTCAGCTAATGACTGAACTTCTGCATCTCATCAGGTTGCAATAAATCATTTACAATTTTCTTTTTATGTTTTCAGTTAACCTCTTGTAATGGTTTCTTACTTTCTCTTTATTTTAGGTCTCTCGTGCTTTCCCCATTAACTGAATTGCATGAACGTTAACCTAACTGAGTGCAAGCAGCCTTCTCAACACATGTCACCAACCACTGTAGGTTATGTGACCAGTAGCCCAGGGTGACTGACTTGATTTTCTTCTCCTCCCTCTGGGAGATATCTGGCCACTGCTTGGTGGCAATCCTGAAGACATGGCTCAAATCCGCAATGAATGGAGAATTTGAATATGCAAAGTCACATCCTACAATGCAACTGGAAGAGTTCTGTAGCTTCTATCAGCCACACTGTTTCATCAAGTCACTGAAACATCCTGAGTACTTCAGTCAGTTGAGCACTTGTTAAGAAATCAGAAGATTCTTCGTTCAAAACCCCTGGGTCCACTTAGCCTTCCAATGTGTTAATAAAATAAGTATCGTATGTAAAAATAAATATCTCTGAGGAGACACGTTAGTAATTCAAGACATTGATGAGACTTACAAGATGAAGACTATTAACTCTGTGAGTCTAAGTTTTAACAGGAGGTTGTGTTAGCCAAAGAAGAAAACAACAATAACAACTTGCATTTATGTAGTGCACTTCACTCCAAAAGGCATCTCGGAGCGCTTGAAATAGAGCCAAATTAAATGTTAAGTGATTTCTAAATCATAGAGTTGATCGATGAGTTTTCATGTGCCAATTACCTTTACTGTAACGTTTCTTTTTGTCAGCCAGGTGTCAGACACAGAAACCCATCACCATGCTTCAGAGCGTGTGAACCAGAGTTTCACATGTATGCCTTTGTATGGAAATTTATGTGCTGTAACATTCTGTGATTCTGTGATTCTGAGAATTTCTTCACAAATCAGAAATGTGAATTCTAACATTACTGAAGTTGCTGTTTGTTTCCTTTTCCTACAAAACCTTTTTTTAATCTTATGGGATTTATTTCTCTCTAAGGATTACAATTTTAACATGGATCTAATGCATTTGGCCACCTTTATTTGGTCAGTCGGGTGTCTGACACATACAGAAACCCAACACCACTTAAGACTATGCAAACCAAACTGAGAATTCCATGTATCCCACCTACACATGGGAAATTCCTGGGTATTGGAAAGGAATGTGCACCCTCTCCCTGGAGGGACACATCCTGCTTATTTAATTCCTGAGAGCATTGCGCGCAGGTTGGCAAGAGCCAAGGTTTTGGAACTCCAGAGTGTGCGTTGGGGTACACACTTTGGGGTTTTCAAGCCTTGGCCGCCCTTTGGAGTACATGTCATATTGCAATGTCATCTGCTCAATGTGACATTGTTTGTTCCAATCACTCTGAAACATATGACATTTACCAACGAATTTGGGAATAGATTTGCTTACCTCTATAGTCTTATAAAATCTTCTACGCAGGGAGGTGCTTCCATGTGCTGACAAATGCTGTGGGAATAAGTGAGTAAGGGACTGTAGTAATGCTGTTCCATGTGTCCAGTGTGGGGTCATAGCAGTCCAGTGTTTTGCATCTCTGAGTGCCAAAATAGCCTCCAACTACATAGAGTTTATTTCCAGATGCTACTGCGTGGCAGCTCATTCGCTTTGCTGTTACGTCCCCAACCTTTGTCCATTGATAGGTCTCACTGTTAAATCTGTATGCAGAACATGCAGAGAATTCTGTATCCCCGCCCATGATAAAAATTTGGTTCCCCAGCACAGCTGCAGCTGTGTACCTCCAAGGCTGAGGGCAGGTAGCTGGCACGGTCCATCTGTTTTCACAAGGATCATAACACTGTACTTTAGGCAGTTTATCATGGCACACACTAGTACCACCAAAGGCAAATAACTTTAGTTTGGCACTAACCACAGCTGCATTGCTGACACCTTCCCGAAGAGGGGCTACCATTGTCCACTTGTTGGTCACTGGGTCATACTGTTCCACTTGCTTCAGAGACACAGAAGGTGATGCCGGTTGCCGTCCGGTGGCTGCTGTGTGTCCACCAACTACATACAGAGAATGCTTCAGCTCAGCAGAGCCATGGCCAAATCTTGCAACCAGCATAGGAGCTGATTTGGACCATTCTTCATGAAGTGTGTCGTACACCCAGACATCTTTGGAGACACCGTTTTCTGATCCTCGACCTCCAGTCACATACACTTTACAGCCGATTGCACATGCACTAAATTCTTTGCGTGGGCTGGGGATGTCTGCTTTTGGAATGATCTCCTTTGCTTTATGGTCTACTAAATATACTTTGTCGCACATGAAGGTCTGTCCTCCAAGCAGGAGCAAGGCATGGCCAGTTTTACGAGGTCTTGCACAAAGACTGGTCACCACTCCGTCATTTTGTAGAATTTTCAATTTGCAGCGTATTGCTTCTTCCACTATCTCTTTACTCTTCACCTGCCTGGTGATAAGCTCCTCTATGGCCACATTCTCCATCAAGTAAACAGCTGGAAGGAGGGCTAGTCGAACTGTTTGCAACAGTTCTGGCAAACAACAGTGGCGTCTGTTCAAGTCATACTTCACCCAGTTTATGGCAGTCTCATAAACTAACCTCTCATCTTCCGTCTCTAGTTCTTCGCTAGAGAGAAGTTGCACCAATGTATCCTTCGGCAGTTGTAGAAAATCTTCACTCTTGCTAATGGTTGGGAAATTGCTGAGGCACATCCTCCAGGACAGTTCATAAAGTTTAGTGCATTGGTGGGCGTCAGAGAGCAGCAACATTCCAAGGCAGTTTGTGGGATGCAGATTTTTCTCCAGGAATTCAGCACAAGCGTCTCGGATATCTTGGAACTGTAGCATGTCCCCAGCCTCCAGCAGTGACTCTGCATTTTCTTCATTGATGAGGACACGAGACGAGTAAGCATAGTCCAGCAGAAGCTCCAGGACCTCAGGGTGTATGGAATCGTGAAAGTTCACTTCATTGTCTTTGCTCTCGCGAAGTCCTCCGCTAAACATAGCTTCAAAGTATCGGCTGCAGGCTGCCAGGACAGCCCTGTGGCAAGGGAAGGTCTTTTCGCCCGCGTGCAGGAGGACGTCTGTGAAGAGACGCTGTTGTCGTAAGAGATTAAGATGGGTGAGGACACTGTCCGCGTAGGTAGTCTTGTGGAAGAGGTAAATGTTCATGGAGCCATTGCTGGCCCTGGATTTGCGATTCTCGTGCATGCTGACTGACATTCTCATCAAACGCTGCGGAAGAAAGTAAAAGTGACACTTTAGGTATACAGTTAAAAGCATGCACTGTCCAGGCCTCACAGGAGGTTCTTGTTAGATTTTTGTTCGTTATAAGATTGTCATTTGCCATTAAAAACGGTACCTCTGCGTCCTTCTCAAACTTTGTAAACCCATGCACTCCCTCCACTCAGCGGGCGCTAACTTACTTCACATCCCCTGCCCTACCCACCCTACCATCAGCACCTGAGCTTTCAGCCGATTTGCCCCCACACTCTGCAACTTCATCCCAGAGTCCCTATGATCTGGACCAATAGAAAAATACAGCCACCATTTTCCACGGAATCCGCTATAACAGGGCCCTCTGCTATAAACCCGCTAAAAAACGTTTCTGGCCCCGGGCCTCCCGGCTGTTTACCTGACGTCACTTTGGGCTGGGCGGCTAGAAGCAGTGCAGCACGACGGACCTGCGAGAGACCAGGCAGCCAAGAGACACCTTCAACAAGGCAATGTGGTGACGGGGAACTTGGGAGGAACAACCCCCAACGATCAGCAAAGCAAAAAGCGGACCGAGTAGAAGCAAACGCTTCCTCTCAACGCCCCTACTGTGGGGGGAGCAGCTCCAGACGCGCATGTGCAGTGCAGCGCAAGTGGGAAATGGGCTTTGCTCCTCTCGGAGGCCCAGCTGTTGAGATTGTCTGTGTGTCTCTGTGTTTGTGAGTGTGTGTGTCTCGCTCTCTGTGGTTGTGAGTGCCCGTGTGAGTGTGTCTGTCGTTCTATGCGTTTGTGAGTGTGTCTGTGTTTCTTTCTCTCTCTGTGTGTTTGTGAGTGTCTGTGAGTGTCTCTCTTCTGTATGTGTTTCTGTTTGAGTGTCTCTGTGTGTATGTGTCTCTCTCTCCTTTGTCTGTGTGTATGTCTCTTTGTATCTATGAGAGTGTGTGTCTCTCTCTCTGAGAATCTGTGTCTCTCTTTATGTCTCTTGAGTGTGTGTGTCTCTCTGTGTGTCTATGCGTGTGTTTGTTTCTCTCTCTCAGTCTCTGTCACTGTGTCTGTGTGTGGTGCTGGGCCCCGAGAGGCAGGGGGTGGTGAGCTCCTGTAGCCCCCGCCATCCGGACACTGGTCCTGAGTGTCTGTTTTTTGGTGGATCTCCAGGTCTTTCGGGTCTGCACCAGTGTCCCTGTCTTGTCCTGTCTCCCTCTCCTCACCCCAATTGGGCCACCCAGTTTTTGTTAAAGAAGAAATTAATTTTTAAAAAATTACAACAATGTGTTATTCCCTCACATTTAGTTTTTAACAATCAAGTGAAAAAATGTGGGTTGGCAGTAAAATGTACCCCAATAGCATGAATCGATCCCCGCAATTTCCCGCAAAGCTTGGCAAACGTCCCCGCAATTTTTGGCAAATATCTCCGCACTATTCTATTGGCCCAGCCCGTGACTTACCCTCCTCAAGGTCGCATTCAAGACCTTTAACCGCACCTTTGGTCATCTTTTTCCAATCTAATTAGGCACAGTTTGGCCTCTAGTATTCCACCCAGGTTGCCATTGTTCATATGTGAGCATCGTCAGTGAGTGCCAGTGGGTCACTCAACTGTAGTGGACATCACAGCCGAGCCTGACCTCTCCTCACCCAATTGTCACAAATGCGCCCAACTAATAGAGGATGTTGTAGGGGTACCAGGACTCCTGCCTTGTTTCTCCCTCCTAACCCTGGGAAGCCTGGGGCCAATTGAACCTCCCTATGCAGCCAAGTTAAGATCAGCAGAATCAGCACAGATCTGGATTCAAACCAGTGCCTTTATGATCAGTAAACTCAGCTCCATCCATTACATCTTCAGAGCTGCCGCAGTTAAGGTAATTTTTTTTACTATTTGCCTTTTGTTCCCAGCCTCCCAATGCTCCTCACTATGTCATGCCTCTAAGGTAAGATTACCTGCCACTCCATGGGTACTGTTTAATACAACTAAAAGTAATTAAAATCAGTAACAAGGCACTAGAGGAAAATATCCCGTGGTTTTGCTCTGCATGGTACCCAATCTTAAAGCCCATTAATGTTCACCACACAGTGCAACTAATTTCCTCGTCACTGGATACAAAAAATACTTTGTTTGCGTGTCTGTGTGTTGACTCACTGTTAACACTGGTATTGTCACATTCCGCACTTGTAATAGTCTGCGTTTACTTTATCAGTAATGTTATTGAGAAAGTATTGGGACAAAAGTCACTTTGCTTGTCCTCTGCCCTGTCTGCAACACCATCGACCACTGAGCTTTCAGCAACTGTGCCCTCGTTCTCTGGAACTCTCTTCCAAAATCCTTCTGTCTCACACCCTTCCTCATTGCTTTCAAACCTTTTCCAGAAAGGTTTTCTGTTCACGTAACATTCTAAATGATGTACAATTTTATTACTTATTTTCAGATCAGCACCTCTTTCATTATGTTATAAATTTTAGGTTCCACCTGCCTTGTGCATCAGATAGATGTAAAGGGATCACCTTGCCATTGCTATTTCAACCAGATGCAGATTTTTCTTCCCTCCCATTATCCTGGTTTATATACTCTAATCTAAATTTACCCCAAATTCAAATTAATTTGGCTATTCATCTATTTGTTGTTTGTGAGACACTGTTGACTCAGACAAGCTTCCATATTTGCTTACATAAAACATATAATATAACATGTAAAAATGTGATTTTTTGTCATTTATTTTTACATGAAAGGCGTGGTATGCATGTAAATTATTATTATTAAAAACTCAGCACTTTGATCAGACTTTCAGTCAACTCTCTAGAACCCCTCCTCAATTCCCACCTGCTTTGGTTTCCATCCGACTGTCTGGCGCTTTGAGGTGTTCTCCTAAATAATTTCGCCCACAAATATACAGTCAATTCACTTTACAGTCTATTCTGTGAAGCGCTTTGAGACGTCTAGAAGACGTGAAAAAGCGCTATATCAAATGCAAGGATTATTATTATTAATGTAAGTGCAATTTCTTGCAAGCACTGACTTCAATGGTATTTGGATGTATCAAACAGTCACTTATCATGTCATTGGTATTGTGATGAAAATGCTCTCCTCTCTCACTGAACAACAAAAAAGTTGCCCAAAACAGCTCATGAACATACAGTACTGCCTCTTTTGAGTTACTAAAAAGCAATTGTGTCAGAGGCTGTGCGCGAAACAGTAATTACTCCCTTTTCGTTTGCAGTTGTAAACCATGCACGTCCACATTTACTGGAATTATGACATCTCTTGGCGAGTCCTACCTTTAACTGCAAGACTGAAAAACCTTTCATATAAGTACATTGATGCCCAAGGAGCTAATTGCTGGAAGTGTTTTCACGCATTTAAAATACAAAAATATTTTCGCCCACAAAAACACAGTACGGTCAAGTCACTTTACAGTATATTCTGGGAAGCGCTTTGAGGCATCTCAATGACGGGTTAAGGCGCTATGTCAAATGCAAGGATTATTATTATGAAATAGTTAACAGCCCCACTTATCTGCCCCTTTGCATATTTTTTTCTTTGCATTTCAGAAACGTGAACTGCACATGACAGGGCCTCTTTTAGTTCTGCAGTGTCTGGAGTGCATTCTTCCTCTGCGATCATCCCTTTCGACTGCACACACACTGACACAGCGCTGTTGCCTTGTGCCCACAGACAAGCATCGGTTCCCAGCAAACATCATGCAGGGAATCCTCGCCCACTGCCAGTCGCTGTGGTTGCTCTAACTCGTGTTAAAAGCCCTTTGTAACGTATTACAGGCTTTGGCACGAGTCAGAAACATGCCTGCAACCAGCCCGCTGTCACTGGTGAGCTATTCTCTTAATCCTGTTCCTCAAATCCCAATGCAGCTTTGGCTGCCCACCAAACAAGTGATAATTTACACGTGTGAAGCAACATTTATCTTTTCCCCAGATTGCATGGATTTGCACTCCACTGAGCAGCGCCTTATCTCTGTGTGTGTGTGTGTGTCTCTGTCTGTCTGTCTGTCTCTCTCCCTCTCTCTCTCTCTCTGCTGCAAACTGAGAGAAGGCGGAGTACTTCAGAAGTCGGTTTATTGCTGGATTTCCCCCAACGCTGTGCAATCAAAAGTCGCTGCTGCGAGTTGCCAACCAAAACCGAGCAGACAAGACAGACAGACAGACAACAGACAGACAGACAGACAGCCTTTTTTTTGCAAAAAAAAATAGGAATTACCTAATTTATATTCCATTCTATTTCAAAGGTTTCACTGCACGGCTGAGCGAATGCATAAAGTATATGGACTTGTCATTAAAATATATAGACCTGAGCTCCGGCAACTCTGAGCTGCGGGTCCTATTATTTATACTGTGCTTAAGACCTCTCTGCTCGCGAGGGAATCTGGTGGGTGGAACTGAGAAGAAAGGGGTTTGCAGTTCAAAGCCACAAAATGTTATTAAATTGTTTTCATTGCGCGCCTCTCTCTCTCTCTCTCTCGACTGCACCCGATAGTCGCGACTGGAGCGGACTTCAGTGGATCACACGCGCGCAACGTTGTTTAGTAGCAATAATTTGTAACGACAGCAACAATTGCATTCGACACACCGCGTTGTTGAGGCGTCTCACAGCGCTTCACGTGGGACGTTGCCTGTACGTTGGTGGGCGGTCTGGCGTTTGGATCGTTGCGAAGAGCCCCCAATGCGCTGACTGCATTGTGCTTTTTTTTTTGCTCCAAACCCTGGACTTTGGCCCCAGCGTTTACCGCTCACCGTGTGCGGTTACTGGGGTTGGTTCCAGCCCGGGATGAGTGACACGGCTCGGCTCGGCTCAGCGCATCCCTGTGCCCCCTCTCCACCACCACACACACGGCTTGGCCTGAGACCACAGCCTCTGGGTGGGGGGGGGGGGGGGGGTGAGGGGGTGAGGATCGCCGGAGTCCAGGGCTCGAGGTACTGTTCTGCTGAATGTGACTGATTTACAAGGGGGTCAATTTGTAGCTGCAAAACAGTCCCGACGACGTTTCGCTCATGAGTGCAACTCATGAGCATTGGCGTTAAAACGCGGCTGTACTTACGGGATCGATGCGGTGGCTGTGGGGGGGTGTGGGCGGGTGTGGGGGGGTGTGGGGGGGGTGTGGGGTGTGGAGGACCGTCCGGTGCTGCTGTTACAGCGCTGCCTCTGCGCTGGGAGAGGGCAGTGAGTGAGCAGCACTGTGTGGGGCAGCAGCTGCCGGCGGCTCAGTCAGTGCAAACAGCGGGTCTTTTCAAAGCGTCCCCCCACCCTCCTCCTCCCACTCC